TGCTCCAAACCGCTATTTGAGCTGGAATTGATGATGTCCATCGACTGGACGATCGCTCCTACCAGCGCTAACGGTCGCGTTGCGGAATCACCCGCAGACCTTTGCGCCGGTCTTTGGGCCGTTGCTCTACCTGCGGGTCGTGGCGATCTGAGGGATTTTGTTGCTCTTCGGGGCACTTGGCAGACTTAGAGTCGGTCACCTAACCGGACTGCGAAGTGGATGGAGTGAGGGTTTTTTGAGGACTATGGAATTGTTTTGTTCGGCAGATTGCAGAACTTGTGTGGTGACTGTTGACGCAACCTTTGTGCTAGTTGTTGCTAGTTTTTGTATTAGCAGTAGTACTAGGTTTAAGAATGTTTAAGACAGGCAGTCCATCATAGAAGTTGTGGATTCCTGGAACGGTGCTGCGGGATCACTCTCCAACGAAAATGGGCTAGCATTCACAGCCATTCGTTCATGCTAGCAGCTGCTAGATGCTGCTAGCATTCACGGCCAACCTGGTGCAAGGTGTGCGTCAGCGCATGCAGCGTTGCGGTACTGCAGCATTTAGCTCAAAACCTGCCCTGACACCCTTTTGCCGTGCCCTGACCGCGTTGAGGCGGTGTTGCCGGAACGTGTTGAGCACGGAAAGAGCACAAATGAGATCACGGCAATCTCCTAGGCCCTAGGCCGTTGCCTGGAGAGTGCATAGTCTGTTTGGTGTCAGGTGGTTGGTGTTTTTTCTCGCCATGTTGGGCATTGACGCCGCAAACTTTACCAGTTGTTTGCGTTCAAGTAACACTTAGATACCAGTCTTGAACCATTTCCCCTTTGACCGAATGCAGCCGGTACAACATCAATGGGTGGTTGGTGACAAGGACGCCATGACCGCCAACTAAGAAAAACACTATTTCCTTGTGTCAGCAAGAACATGGAACATTATGTCGTTGGAAGACCATTACTATACATCGTTCCGTGGTAGATGGAAATTGAACATGGGAGGAATATTCCACAGAGGATAGATTGATCTCCCTCAAGACTCTTGGCTCAAATCCCACAGACTTTAAGCCCTGCAAAGCCGCGTTCCTGACACATCACCCGACTATTTGAGCCAAGACAATTGCGAGATTCGACATGGTTCGTGATGGTTCCTAACACATTGATGGTGCATTCGATCGATCGCTGGTGCAGATCACTTGTTGGTCCAGAAACTCACGGGAACAAAGGCAGAGTCCACCTGTCTATAGGAAGTAAGCCTTGAAACGAACTATATATAGGCGCAGCATGTCAAACAGTGGCATAAGGCAAAGATCTATGTGTGTGTTCCAGCAACTCACTAATCCACTGGAAGACTTTGACAGGTTTTGTGTGGGTCCCAAGTCCTTCTACCTTTGCTGCTTCCCAGTCTGCCTCAGGTGACCATGCCGGCCAGCATCAGTGTTCGCCCTGATGGTCCGAGACCCGGGAGGGGTGAGGTCGGCTTCAGATCGGCTGAGTTCCTTTGTAAGCCATGGGACACTAGTAGCGTCCTTGTTCCTAGTAGCGTGGCACTTGTTACTACTAGTAAGGCACTTGTTCCTAGTAGCGTCCTTGTTCCTAGTAGTAAGGCCAGGAGCCCCTAGTAGCGTCCTTGCTCCTAGTAGCGATGCCCTTTGCTCCTAGTAGCTTCTTCATGTGCAGCGCGCCCATGCACGCCCTGAGATAAACCCGTGCCAATTGCGAAAGCATGTTTGCGGCACATGTTAGCACATGGCTACTGGCTGGTATGAAGAGTGACCCCTCAGCGGATCCAAACTCAATGCAGCGGGGCCCTTTCAACCCCTATCAGGCTAATTGCTTGATCAAACCAGACTAGCAGCCTATGTGCTTTCCAATACCGGAGTATATTTGGCCGATGTTTCTTGTTCGTGATCTACTTAAGACTGCAGTTCTACTTAAGACTGCAGTTAAAATCGCATTCCAAGTGTCCCAGCAAGCACACCTGGGACCTGCAAGCCAAGCAATGAAATCAAGCCTGTCCATTTGCCAGGTGTGGGACCGGGATGCAATCTGAACCTAGTAGCTTCTTGCTACTAGTAGCGATGCCCTTTGTTAGTAGTAGCAGCTTCTTGTTACTAGTAGTAATGCCAGGAGCTACTAGTAGCGTCCTTGCTCCTTAGGTCATGTGTCACCGCACAGGTCGACCACTGGGCTCACCGCCCTGTCGCCCGGCGAGCCGAGGTGTTGGCGTTTTGACCATGGACTCGCCACCAGTGAACTCCCTGGGCACTGAACTGGTGACCTCCTTCAAGCAGGAGTTCGAGTGACGTGTTTCGGGTCATTTTTGGATCCACTTTGCATCCACTGGTCAAGGAATATCCACTGGTATGGTTGACATAGTGACGGACCGAAGCATGGCCGGGATCAGCATGGCCGGACCACGGTCAATTCCGACGACCCGCACCTTAAGCGGTTCAGATCCGCCAAACCAAATGATCCGCCAAGCCTTTTGCATGACGGACATCGTGCACACGCCCACTGCTACTATAGTGGTTGGGCCACCGGTGGGTAGATGACACGCTTATCAAATAATCGTCATGTTTGTTCAACTTGCGCTTCGGCTGTGTTTTGGGGTGTGGGCCACGCCGGTTTTGAAGGCAGGACTGGACAAACATGACCATGCCACAAGCGAACAAGCCGGCCTGGCACAAAAGTGTAGGGGCAAGGAGCGCAGCAGGCGCCGTTCTAAGTTCCTTTGGTTTGCCCTGGCGCCGAAACCTGAAGTGCCTGGGACCGGGACGGAGTCAAAACCAGCCGCAACACCATGTCAGCTTGACTCACGGCAAGGTCAGGTCAAGCAAGATATCCCGGTGACTCCACAGCCATTTTTGTTGGCTTTGGCTTTATCTATCAATTCCAAGTGGAACCGCAGTTGTTCCTCCGTCAGTGGTTCTTTCAGTGTTCTGAGCCCTGTAGGGTATCCCCACCATGGATCCACCCGCTAGGAACCTGGAGGAACAGCGCTGGAAGCGTTCATTTTGGGGTCTTTGAAATGGATGCCTCGTAGGAGGGCGCAGTTTGGTCTTATGGTGAGATGTTTTCTGCATCTCTCGGAACTAGTAGCAAGTGCATCGCTATTAGGAGCTAATTTGCCACTAGTAGCAAGAAGCTACTAGGAACAAGTGCATCGCTACTAGTAGCTTCTTGTTACTAGTAGCGATGCCCTTGTTCCTAGTAACTTCTTGCTACTAGTAGTAATGCCCTTGTTACTAGTACAGTAATTCCCAATCAAGTGGACAGAGGAATCATGAGTGCCAGCCTGAGTCTGGCACAAGAGTCACCTGGATCTCTGGTTCCATGGCTCATGGCAGGTGACCAGCTGGCTATGTGGCTATTCCATGTTTGGTGTGTGTGTGTGTGGGTAGCAGCTGTAAAGGGAGCGTTCTACAATCCGCGAACACAACATCCTTCACTGCCGAGCGGCGGAGTTTGCAGATGCCCTTTGCGCGGGATCTGCGCATATCCCTTCCTGCCCGATTTGGCGTCGCGACTGACGGGCAGTTCCCGCGGTGCCGGAACTGTCCTAATTGGAGGGAACTGTGCAGCCGCTGGTGGTTTTTCTAATTCTTGTTCCTAATAGCTTCTTGTTACTAGTAGTAAGGCCAGGAGCCCCGTTCGTAGCGTCCTTGCTCCTAGTAGTAAGGCCAGGAGCCCCTAGTAGCTTCTTGTTACTAATAGCATTTGGGTGTAACTCCCTTTCGGCACTGGTTCAAGCCATCGTGAGGCTTCAGGTTTTGTTGGACGCCCAACTTGGGGTGAAGCGCCAGGTTTTGAAGAGCCAGCAGTTCTTAGTGGCGACTTGGGGGACCCTGGCAGTTGAGTCAGGACACCCTGGCGAAATAGCTGCGCCATACCCAGCTGCGCAGGAGTTCCCCAAGCTCGTGCAGGATCCAAAGGCTTGGCCGGATGGCGGTTCGATGTGGAACTGATGGAAACCTCAATGCCTCACGGTGGAAACAGAAACGACGCTCGATGGCACCACCGCATGGAGGACACTCTGAACACAAAGACCAGCGTTTATTTTTGCAAGGGCTTGGCTTTGCTCATATATCCCTGGCTGCCTTCCCACAACAACCTTGATGGGGAATACGAACAGAGGGTATTTTGTAGGTTCCCAAGTCACAAGTTTTGCAAGATGTTGTCCATCAGCAAAAGAAATGAGACGGACGAACATGGCCCCTTTTCACAAAAAATGATCGACGGCATGTCCGTGTTCCATATCTATGTCACTATGTTCATGACCAGCTGTGTACGTCCCTGCAAGACGAATCAATGATGGACGTGCCCGTGTCACGCTTGGTTTTGGTCACAGCCAGCTGTCGAACTTTTGAGGCTTTCAGAAGGTGATACCGAGAAGCTTGCTTGTGGACCATGGCATCAGCACATAAGACATTTTCTGCCGGAGGAAAGATACTGTAGGTTCCCGCCTGGAGCCATAATCATTTGGAGTTTCATGGAGGTTTCATTTATCACCTGGTATGCCTCCGAGACCGTTTCCTGGCAAGACAAAGTTTGAGGACCTGCCATCTGAGCCGTCAATCTATTGGTATCAGATGGGGGAGCATGCATATGATCAGGTGGGTTAACTAGGAACCCAAGGAGACTCAGATTGAGCGTTGGTTTGGGGAGGACATGCCAAGATGGGGAGGGACCACTCTATTTTTCAATGCACATGTTATTACTGTAGCTCGATGAGGTAGATCCGTCTTCTACCTACCCAGTTGACATTCAACTCAAGCTACTAAGTTGCCATAAGTCTTTTGTGCGGAATTCTCAGTTCCCAACGAGTCTTTATTCAATTGCATCTAGGAGCATTTTTCAGTGTCAGGATCTGTACAGCTAGCCTGTGCCTGAAGGCACACGTAGCTTGAGACGAAGACAACAGACTCTCCCAAGCCAAAGACGATCAGTGCAAGGACTCCAAGAAGCAAATTCAACTAGCTTTCTGTTCAAAGGACAACCAACATGGACCTCGGGGAAGTGGGGTTTGTTGAACCAAACAGGCGGTTCAACGGGATGACCACATGGTAATTACCTAAAACATCCTAAAACCTTTTGCGATCTTTGCACTTGGTCTCTTGGACTCTCGCCGAAGTCATTTCCCAATTCAAGCCGTGTCCTGTCGAATCAATGATGTGTTGTCGTCGCCTCCTGGTCGTCACGCTGGCGCTGTTCCCGGTGGTCGCCCTGCGGCACGCGGAGGAGGAGTCGCCTTCGGAGGTGCCAGCGGACGGAGGGTCCCAGATACTACTAGCCAAGGGCATTGCTAGGAACAAGGACGCTGCCGCTACTAGTAGCTCATGGCATATAGGAATACCTGATGGCCGGATTGATGGACCAACTTCTGCGCTGCAGATCCAGTATCCTACAAACACCTGATCCACAGACGTGTGAACATGCTATATATGGGTCTTCAACCTCACCTTTGACAGGTTCAGGATTTGGGTCATGAACAGGAGTATGCTATCTCTCGCAGCAACTCGTCCAGTGAGTGACCAGTGGGTCGTTGTGTTTTCTCACAGCCCGTGACTTTCACAGCCCAGGCGGCAAGAAGTGGTGATGAGGATGGCGATGAGGATTTTCTCCATGATCTTCATGACATTGATTGGTTTCAACGCCCTGCAAGGCCCCGAAAGCGAAAGGAGGCAGGGACGAGTCCGTCCAGTGACGATTTGGGACGTCAAGTAGTCCATCCAGTGGACAGAGAACTGGTTGAACAAGAACTATCTAGTTTTCAACCTCATGGTCGGGCTACTGACAGCTACTCGTAGGGTGGTTGGACAAGTCGGAAGCATTGGCCGATTGAGGATTCCCACCATGCAGTCCATGCCCTGTTAACCCAGCAGTCCAAGGATTCTGGACTATCAAACCCCTGGGCCATGCACATCCAGACCAGTGACTAGGGTCATTGACTTGACGTTACATCGGTGAACAGTCCCCGGCAGAAAGTTCAATTTTTGTTCAGCAGGTGGTTGAGCCAGGATGGAAGGCTGACTCCAAAGGGCTGACTCCATCCGGACTCCATCTATCCATGATGGATGCCCGGTGTCACGTCATAAGAGGTTCGGAGCTGTTGGAATTTCGCGCAATTCCATCATTCTGGGGTCGCAGTAGTGATCTTGACTTGACAGGTCTCTTTTAAACACGTATTAGGATAAAATTTCTCCTCACAGACCTCAACAAAGCCCCCCCAGAGCACACTTAAACAGCTCGTTATAGGAAGTACGATATGGCAGGAGAGTGGCAACTGACGGGGCTTTCTCTTTCTGTATGGCGTCAGGCTGAGAAGGGAACCTCTTTGGCTGAATGAAGCACTGATGATGCGACGTTGTCATGCTGTCCCATGCACCCTGTGAGTGCAAAGTTGCCGCAATCTCGAACTCTGAGAAAACTTTCGCAGGAGAGAGAATCGGCTGTCAGGCTGAAAGATCTCTGAGCTTCACTGTGTCTGAACGTTGGAGCTGCAGGTGGCTTGAGTCTTGAGTCCCAAAATCACGATCCCTGCAAAAAGCACCATTTTGCTCGCATCTGGATTGCCAGGGGCGTGGCGAGACACTTTCGTTGGCTCGCATCCATGCCTTCTTGAGTGGGCTTCAAGCCTGCTTTCTGCCAGTGAGTATCATTCTGTCGAGTCACTGCTTTTGGAGGCAATGGCGAAGACGCCGAAAGTGAAGACTTCGCCTCTTGGCACGTCGCTGAACTGGACATCGACGAGTGATGACCTCAAGGCCTCCCCTTGACTTCCGAATGGTGACCTCAAGTAGCCACGCCTCCCAAGAGCTGATGCTGGATGATGTCCCTCGAGTGTGACATGATCACATGTCCGCGCTTTCTTCGGTTGACGGTTGAGGCTGCGGGTTTTGTTCTAAACCTATCCGAAGAACACATTTACACGGAAAGTGTACCGATGAAGTATAGGTGACGCCATACCAGACGGGTGGGTGGTTACCGCGCTGCCATGGGCCTCAGGGGTAGAACAACTTAAGTGGCTGAGAAAGACCAAAGTACTGTATTCAATGCCCTATCGAAGAACAGGAGCGTTTGACAATCCCTCACCTGCTATGTTATCTTTGGTCCATGGGGCTTTGAGAAATGCTTACAGACTTTGCGGGTGCCCCGAAAAAGAAGACTCCACACCCCACCCCACCCAGAGTTGACTTTCGGCAATCAGGACGGACCACACTGGCGCAATGCTTGAGATGGGCAGTGCAGGCAGCGCAGGCAGCGCAGGCAGCGCGCGCAATGCCTGCACCTCGAAGTTTCGCAAGACGGAGACCGTTTTGGGAGAAGGCGCCACGGTGGCATGGAGGGACTTGCCGCAATAACAGTGAAAGTCTTATAGGTGCGTTGAACAGAGCCTCAGGTCTGGATCTCCAGCTCGAAAAATCATCCAAGGAACCCCGACCAGCCACCAATGGACCAAGTCCGAAGACGTGACTTTGCCCCAAACCATCTCAAACCCATGAGCCTCTTTCTTGGAGTCTATGAGCAGCAGAGTCTTCGTCGCGCCTTTCTTTTGGAGTCGACGAGTTCCGGAACCCGGACAGAAACGAGGTGAATTCGGCACGGTCTACGAGGTGGAGCCGGTGCAGAGCTGGTACGAGTACTTGACCTTCGCTCAGACGCAGAAGTTCGCCCTCAAAGTGCCCAAGGACCGGAACGGTGGACCCAGGGGTTTGTGGGGTCCAAAGGAGGGTGAGTTGGATGAGCGGATGGTCGGTTGCAGGACGGGCTACTGTTTGCTGGATTTGCTGGTGTGCTTGTCGGCTCGTGAGCGCTCTGTTTTGTTTATTTTTTTTTCGGGGGTTGAATCTTTTTCGTGGAGTCTTTTTTTGATCTTGCTTTGCGTCAGGTTTCACAGGCAAGAAGGCTGGCAAACACCTTGGCAACTAGCAACGGCAGCCACTAGCTGATTTTCTGTATCCACATACTCATTTGGGAGAAAGAGTTTGCCGATGCGACCTGTAATCAATGTGGAATGTTCTCTCACTATGCTTTGGGGCCTATATTTTGATCCACTATAATCCACTCCGTGAGCATTCCGTGGCACACGTCCAAGAATGAGCATTGCTACTTTGAGCTACCGGCGCCCGGTACTGGCCCGGTACCTAGTTTGACCCCATTCGTGGCCTTCACTCTCTGGCCATAGTCACAAATAGTCACCACTTTAGAAGGGCTGCCCCTATAGCAGAGCAACTCTTTCTGCGGATGCCAAGGTTTAGGCGACCTTCTACCTGTGTTGGGTGTGAGTTTCGCAAGGCAAGCTCTTCAGCGAGATTTCGGCCCCCCGCGACTCTGGCCGCTCGTGACCTTCGACGGTCTTCGACTCAGGAGGAAGGTGTTCTTGAAGCGGAGAAAGAGCTGGAAGTGATGGCCGCCACAGGAAAGCTTGAGTGTGCTTTGGAGAAACAGGACTGAGCTTGGTGAGCGTGCTTTGCAGCATGCCCGGTCAACCCAGGGGTGTTGAGGGGTGGGTGTCTCCCGTCAAGTGCACTGTCGCGTGGATTGTCTCAACAAATAGATTGAGTTTTAGGACTCTTCTTCGGTCTCCCTCATTCAGGACCTCCAAGCCCGCAGGATTGCTCTTCATTTTACTCAAGAATGCTTCCAGTTGGACATCCATGTGATGCAAAAAGCCCAAGGATCGATGTTGAAGCCAGATTCAGATTTACAAGGGGCATTCCTTTGGTTTTGACCAGATATGGAGTGAGTTCCAGTTGCGACCTAGCATCTGAGCCAGGAATGCCTTGTGATGGCAGTCTGCATGAGGGCTGGTGAGTTCATTGCTTAGTTTCACAAATAGATCTCGAAAGAACAACGCCTCCCCTGGCAGATGTTCAGTTGGATTGGTGCAGGTTCAAACCATTGACGTTTGGCCTTTTTTCCAGTTCTGTTTGATGGAGCCACTTCGATGAAGTAGAAAGAGGAGCCACTTCGGTCCACAGCCTTGCCCGTGGTTTTTTTGGTATGTCTGGGGTTCACACTGAGTCCCTCAACTTGCTCGGGATCTTTGTACCAAAAAAGTTTAATGCCATGAGAGGTTGGTGGACTTTCACACGGTCTGAGTGAGCAGAGGCCAGATGGTGAATTTCCCAGACTGTAAGATCTCCTGGATCGATCGGTGGATCAGGTGCCCACGTCTTACCATTGCTGGAAGCAAACCCATGCATTGACGGAGTGACCTTGGAGAATTCCTTTGTGACGACGCTGCTGCCGTGGGATTTTGAAAAGTGGCACCGGACACACAAGGCCTGTCTGGAGGGAGGATGGGCCGGAAAACCCCTTTGGGAGGGGAGGAGTACCGCAAAGAAAACATCGCATGAAGATACTTGTGCAGAGACATTCTCAGGTTCTATTTTGTTCTTGGGACAAGTATGCCGGAACTCTGATCCTTGGCCTCATGTTGGCAGTCAGGGCTGCGGCAGCAGACCCTGCATGTGAGGTCTTCCATTCGTGGCATTCGAATTGAATCGGGTGATGTGTCAGGTAAGTTCAGGACAAAGGGACTTGTTCAGGAATTCATCCATCATTAAAAATAAAAGGACATAAATGCAGAGCAATTGCTATTTCACAGGCATACTAGTCAACTTGAACCAGGGCTACAGCAGCAGAACAGCATTTCGACCAATTGAAAAGGCATCCTTCTTCCTGGACCTTTTGCAATCATTGCTTCTGCAACACCACCCCATGTTCGCTGCCAAGTCGCTGCGAATTCAGCACCTCTTCAGACATTCTCTGCTGCCATCTGCTCGCCTTTCTCTGGCAGATCCCCAAGAAATGCTTCGAGGGTGTGAAGTTTGCCATCAAAGACGGCTTGGACTGCATGCATGCAGCAGGCTACATCCACAACGACCTCAAGGACCCACCGAGGAACGGTTTGGACCGAGCGCCGAACATTCGAGCACCAACTCCACTGGAGGCACTGTTGGAACTCCTTCTTGCGTTGGAATCAGTGGTCAGCCCTGAGAGCATTTTCTTCAGAAGGTAAGGGTTTCATATTCTGTTGTTCTTGAATGTTTTGGTCAGCTGAATGAACACAGAGCCTGGAACATCAGGCAAAAGGTTTGTTACCACCTCTAGATGTGGCGATGCTGTGCATGTGGTCGACCACATCTCGCGGAAGGTTGAGCTAGACATGTGCAAGAACGTCGCCTGTGCCACCCACTGGTCCACACGAAGCAGTCAAGACGACAGGAACCACTAGGGCTTGTCACCCGTTTAAGGCGGACCGAAGCGAGGAGCGAAGAAACAACATCAACCGTCAAGTGAGCCGACCAGAACCTAACCAACAAGCTCGCCATGCAGGTACCGGCTAAGGACTTGGGATATATTACTCCCCCTTTGATTGAATGGGTCGAATATTACTCCCCAGTGCAGAAAAAAAGCACTATGCCGACTGCGACACAACTGAGCGACATGAGAGCTGGTGGTAAGAGTGTAGTACAATGATGACGGAAGGGCATCCACAAATGCTCAACAACATGTTGCTCACATTTTTGTTTGCGTATGCATCCTATACTGACTCTGGTATAGTTACACTAAAACAGTCAGTTTAGTATTAATACTATAAAATCATGAATCGGGAGGCCTCCACCGATCCTATAGTGCCAGCGTGTTCTTTCGTGTCCGTTGAAACGCGCGCCAATGCACCGGAATGCCACTGGTGGTCGTTCGAAAGGCTCCGGTCACAGCGTTCGCCAGGTGTTTGTCCCTACACCTGGACCCCACTTCAAGTATGTACCCTAGAAAATGGCTCATGACCCTATTAAAACAGCTCCGACTGTACCCATTTAGAAGTACGAATACGAATGGAGGGTCCAGGTGGGACCGGAGCAATGCGCATCGATACGCCCTCGCGTGAGGCTTTCGCGGATCGTATTTTTTGCACGACAGAGGCGGACGTAGACAGCTTCGGCTGGGCGTGGGCATTTCTTTGGAGCAGAAAGGCGTTCGGACAAAACCTGTGGATTGTACGGTTGGAGTTAAAGCCCAGAGTAAACCTTCCAAAGCAAACCTAGAGAGACATGAGACATGGAATAAGTGCAGGACCTTCCAACAGTTTGTGTTAGGGCCCGACCAGAGGTGGTTTCTGGACACCTGTTGTCACCAGGATGGCCATTTGTTGGAGGGTCCAGGTATGGAAGTGTTTTGCAAGTTCTGGACATGCCAGTGGCCCTGGAAACCCCACACTACGTGTAGGCGCATATGACGCAGCTTTAATTAAGGGATTGATGTTGCACATTTTAAACACACATCCATAGTGTCGTGAGAACCCCATTATATACATTAAAAAGCAACATTGTAATATTATACTATACTATATTATATTGTACTATGTATATGCATATCCTGTTTGGGCTCCTGTCCCTGCACTGCATTTTGCGGGTTCCTACGGGCTGGTTGGTGTTTCCACCGTGTGGAGGTGCCCACAGGTCATTCCACGGGTCGTCGTTCGAAAATTGCAAATCACGCATAGACGCCCTTTGTTACTAGTAGCTTTTTGTTCCTAGTAGTAAGGCATGGAGCCCCTAGTAGCGTCCTTGCTCCTAGTAGCGAGGCCCTTTGCTCCTAGTAGCTTCTTCTTCCTAACCATTTTAAATGACACCTCCTCAATACAAATTGCAAAGAACCTTCACGTTGAACAAGTATGAAAGGATTCAAGCTTGGGCATGGCACCATTTGCCGATGGCTTTTGGATGGTCCGGTACTTGTGTTGCTGCACTGGATGACGTCTACTTGCAGCATTCTTTTGCCTATGTGCTGTTTGAGTCCTTTGCTTTTCCCTAGCAGTGCTGTCTCTTCGCAGGATGGCAATGTCTTGTTCGAGTACTTGGATGAAGATGGCTGTCCGCAGGGTATCAAGTTGGCAGATTTCGGTCTCTCACACCCCATCAACACTCCCTTGAACAAGTACCTTGGCACCGAGCTGGCGTTCCACATTCGTCCAGCGGAGCCCCTTCGGAGGGCTCGCTGAACTCGCAGAGCTCGCTGAACTCGGGCTCCAACTCAGAGCTACGTTCGTAGCTTCCTTGCTCCGTTCGTAGCGATGCCAGGAGCTACTAGTAGCTTCTTGTTACTCATAGTAAGGCCAGGAACTACTGGTAGCTTCCCTGCTCGAACATGGAAGTGTGGAAGTTCCCCCTTGTTCGGAGCTCGCTCCTTCCGAGTGAGCAATGTTCCACTTCATGTGATGTGTCGGTTCGGTACTGGTCGAACTGGTTGGTTTTTGTTGGGAACTCAGTGGATTGTTTGATGACCCAGTGACCCAGTGAAGGGCGACTGGTTTTCATTGGTCGTTGCCCTTTGCTCATGTGCACAAGACTTGACACTTGCCTGGATGTGTCAGAGCTTACGACACATGGGTGCAGACTCCACTACAGTACCAGGTAGACGGTTTTGCAATCTAATGAATTCTTGTTTCTAATAGCTTCTTCTTCCTAGTAGTAAGGCCAGGAGCCCCTAGTAGCGTTCTTGCTCCTACCCATCCACTTTTTCTATCATGTTCGACCTTTCTAGGGCTTACTCGCAACTCTGTCGATCTGCACGAGGCCACACCACGCGAGGTGGGTCAAGAATTGGAGATCACCGTCGGCAGAAAACAACCAGCCATTCTTGATTGGTTTTGTGATGGGGAAGGACCAGGAACCACAGAAACCGCTCTATGGATGCCGGGTCCCCGCCATTCTTTTTGGACCGACAGGTATGACAAGGCATCCTACAAGGAGACCATCCATATGACCGCGAGTCTCTTTGCTGACATGAAGGACGGTCTCTCCATGTTGGTGTGGTGTCTTCCAGTCTTCCATGTTGAGAAGGGCCTTCTAGGGACATCTTTCCGAAGGACGAAGACAATTAGAACACATCACTGACATTTTGGTGCATTTAATTGCAATTACCGTTTCAAGACGTCGACCTATCAACAATACGCTCAGTGACGCCAATCGTTGTGAGGCCTAAGGTCCGCCACATCAACACACACACACACACACATGAGAACCACACTGAATCCAGGTCCTGGTGGTTATAGCCATGGCAATAGATATGTCATGGTGCCAAATTCCAAGTATGTGGCGCCAAACAGTATTTCCTAGAAGTGGATCCAGAATGAAAGCACCTGAAAAGAAAACAACACAAGAAGCTTCAAAGCTGATCCCATCCTAAACTTGGAGAGAAATCCACTTCCAGGTTTCACCAAGAGCACACCGCCACCAGTTGACTTTGGCGAGGACCCCTTGAACCTCACTGACCCGGTGGACCCCTGGATGGTCAGAGCAGAGGGGACCATCGACGAGTGTTCGTGGGCGGAGATGGCCTATCAGCTGTTCAAGAAGAAGGATAAGGAGCTCCGTTCGTAGCGTTCTTGCTCCTAGCAGTAAGGCCAGGATCCCCTAGTAGCGTCCTTGCTCCTAGTAGCGATGCCCTTTGCTTCCTTCTTCGGATAAGGAGAACAGATGGAGAGATCATGGCGGCGCACATGCAACATGGAACATGCGACAAGCCGGTTCGCGCGCATACTCGCGAAGGAAAGCCACAGAGAGAAAACGGTACTAACTTTTTGCGATGTTTACATCCCCATCCCCTTCTATGTTTCAATGGAAAATGATAACTTACATTTCCTGGAGGTCCCCCTCACAACACGGCAATTAGGGATATTTGGATGTTTATATTTTACGCGCCTTTGGCAAATCCAAAGCCGAGGAACTCAGGCAACCCGGTAAAAACACAGAAATTGCGATATTTGCCGCTTTTACCGCCCCCTTTGGTAGAATCCATAGCTGAGGGACTCGGGCAACGCGGCAAAAAAACACATCAATTCTTACACCGGTTTTACCGCGAATTCTAGAAGAACAAGGTATCGTTATTGCCACGCTTTTGGTCGTTAAAGATTCCTGGCCAAGGGACCCGAGCTATCAAATACATAAGTCAGAAGTCGGAATTGATGCGGTTGTTGCTGGGAGAATTCGGGAGAATGGTAACGCTATGATCACCTATGGTCTATGATCCAGAAACCGGTTGAACAAATACTGCAGTAGTCGCGAAAGTTTTTAGACTAGACCCGGAATGGTATCATCTAAAACTATTTTAGGTGAAACATAAATGACATGCCAAAAACGAAAGGGTGAATATAGATAAGGATCGAACAAACAAAAAACATACCTTTTAAAGACCAACTGGGAAGACATTGATCTGTGACTTGAATCAAACATTTGACCAAACGAGGTCAGTCGAAAAGAGCTGGAATTGCAATGAGAAAAGGAGACTTGAAACGAACAGATAGAAAGCAGATCTTGGATCAAATGAATGGATCGGTCAGACTTGAATTGAAAGGTTATGTTGAAACGAAAAGAATTACTTGGAAACGCAAAGGGGTGAGTTGAAACGAATGGATAGACTGAAACCGCAAGGACGGAGGGACTTGAAGCGAAAGGAATGTGAAGCGAAAAGGCTTGAGGTGATCCCTCGTCCACTCATTGGTTTCGTTTGTCTTCAAGAGCGAAAGGCGTTGAGGGAGGGACACTAAAGATAATGAGACATGCTATAATGTCGGCCTGTGAGTGTCATTGATTTTTGTGTTTCGATCTCATCAGATCTTCTGACCAGATTTTTGTTTTACAGTAAGAACAGACAATTCTCGATTTTTACTGCTTTTACTGCGCGTAGGGTAAAGAACATCGAGCTGCGAGGCCTGAGCAACCCGGTTGTCAAAACATCTTTCTTAAAAAAACAGTCTTTTTGCCGCTCATTAAAGTAATAAGAAATTGTTCTTTTAGTTTAAAGAACATCGGTTTTTGAAAAGCCATGTTTAGGGGGCTAGCGCCTGTGGCTGCCGCCCCAGAGAAGGGTCGGAGGCATATAGTGGAGCGGTCTAGAAGCGGTGGAATATGTGGAAGATGAGACTTCCCTCCTTGTTTGGTAGAGAGTCATGAATGTACTTTAATTCATCATGATTCATCAACCTTTTGATCGATGGACCTTTGAATATCTCGCACTAGAAACCATCTGCAAAGATATCTCCTTTTGTGGTGCTTCCATCTCATGCATGTCCATTATGCGTGTTTATACACGGGACTCTTCAACAACCGACTTTTAGTTGATGTTTCCCCTTCGTGCCATTCCTTAACAGATTGAAGTTGAACCCACACCCACGCGGCCCACGCGGAGAAGCTCTCCCACCCTTTCAATGCTTTTAAGGCAGAACATGCGCCACCATCCACGTTTTGAGGAGCACGCGCGCACCTGGAAAACTAAACTACCCTGGTAACCCAAGATAGCGCCGCAACGTATTCACCAAACAGTGCAGTGAGGGCCGTTTCCGCTCGGTCTTCCCACCAACAGGAACTTCAAGAGAAGTTGGGCAAAGGTGCCTGTGGAGACTTGTGCTGCGCTAGCACTGTCGGCGCGGGGCAATGCTATGCCCGCAGCACTTGTGGTGCAAGAGACATAGTATACATGGGTAAAAGACGTCGCCCAACATCCAGTTGTTTTTGCAACAACGAGTAGTTATTTGTCAATCATGTCAAGAAATTCGCAATGAACATTTGAGTGATTTGGGGGAGCCTGGACGTTTTGTCTTGGTCTAGTTATTGTATTGGCAGCAAAGGAGCAGGAAGAAAACACGGGTGTAAGATAGTGTTACTAGTAGAGTTCGATGGTATCCAAGATGGATGAAGCTGTGTGAGAAACCTGGTAACCCAGCCGGGTCAGATACTTAGTTCCCCCGTCTTTGATTTGGTTTTAGGTCATCCAAAGGTTTGGTGGATGGACGTACCGGGGCACCGGGAACCGAACTTTGGGTAGGATGGCCAGCCGATCTTCACAGCATTTTTCAGTTTTCATAGATGTGGCACACTCCATGGAGTCTGGAGACTACCTTTTCACGGCATACCACTGGGCATGCCGTTGTGTTGGGACATGGAGCACGTTCTTGATTTCGCCTCCCACCGAGGAAAAATGGGCCCCAGGCGGAAGTTAACGCTGCCTTGAACAGCCGCCAGACATCGCCAGACTCTGTGAGAAACTCCAGCGAGAAAAAGTGGGACGGCCGTCTGCGATTTTGCAGGGAAGACATACGAAATTGTACAAAACTGGAATGTGCGGCGATCCGCTTCGACTCAGCAACGTGAGAGATGGCCCTTGAGGACAACTCATCTTGGCAAACACGGTGTTTCCACCTGCATTACCTGCATCTTAGTGCATTGAAACAGGCCCGACCACCATTTCTGCGTTTCTGCCAATGGGAACAGACTTTGGCAAAACAGCCGTCCGTGCCTTTGAAACATGCTTGGAAGCAAAGATTCGTGTCACCCTTCATTCTGGAGACCTCGTTCTCTGGAAGCAGTTCTACTCCCCGATCTTGGGACCGCCTCCAGTTGTAGTTTTCCCGTTTGTGGTGCAGTTGTCAATTTTGGGATGGAGAGTCTCTTCACCAAAAAACCCAAAACCATGCATTGCCTTTGCTTCCCGTTTGTTGTGTGGGTCAAGTGAGGTGAACAAAGCCCATGTGGGTGTCGAAGTTCAGACCCCGAGCTGTGCCATAAGAAATCCACCTCCCAAACCTAACACAATCCTCACCAGCAGCAAACTCATGTTCCTTCCCTCAGAGGTGAACTGAGCCCACATCCATCCACCCTGAGATCACCAGGTGAAAGCCATTGTGGTCACCGGGAAGGGCCCCATGTTCTGCGGTGGCGCAGAGATCACGGAGCCGGGTGCTCGAAGCCATCCGAAGGGCCCAAACTGCCCGGAGGGGGCGGTCCATATATACAGCTAGTAAGGCCAGGAGCCCGCTAGTAGCGATGCCCTTTGCTCCTAGTAGCGTCTTTGCTCCTAGTAGTAAGGCCAGGAGCCCCTACTAGCTTCCTTGCACCTAGTAGCGATGCCCTTTGCTCCTAGTACTGTAGCGTCTTTGCTCCTAGTAGTAAGGCCAGGAGCCCTTAGTAGCTTACTTGCTCCTAGCAGCGATGCCCTTTGCTCCTAGTAGCGTCTTTGCTCCTAGCAGGAGCCCCTAGTAGCTTCCTTGCTCCTAGTAGCGATGCCCTTTGCTCCTAGTAGCGTCTTTGCTCCTAGTAGTAAGGCCAGGAGCCCCTAGTAGCTTCCTTGCTCCTAGGAGCGATGCCCTTTGCTCCTAGTAGCGTCTTTGCTCCTAGTAGTAAGGCTAGGAGCCCCTAGTAGCTTCCTTGCTC